AGTCCTCAAAAGCAAATGTAGCAAAAACTAATATTGATGGGTGGGACCCTATCAAAATAGAAAGTTTTGCACAGGCAAAGAAACCATCAAGAGAGTAAAGAGTCAACACATAGAATAGGGGAAAAATATTTGCAAGCTATGCATCAACAAAGGCCTAGCATCCAGGATCTCTAAGGAACTCAAACAAATTGACAGTAAAAAAGACAAATAACACCATTAAAAAGTATGCAAAGGATATGGATACTTCTCAAAGGAAGACATACAAGCAGCCAACAAACATAAAAAATGCTCAGCAACACTAATCATCAGATAAATGCAAATAAAAACTATAATGAGAGACCATCTCACACCCACCGATCAGGATGGCAATTATTAAAATGTCAAAAAACATAGTAAAAAAACAGCAGGTGTTGGCAAGGCTGCAGAGAAAAGAGAACACTTCTACACTGTTGGTAGGAATGCAAGTTAGTTTAATCAGTGTGGAAAGTAGCTTGGAGATAACTCAAAGAACTAAAAATAAAGCTACAATTTGACCAAGCAATCCCGCTCCTGGGGTTACACCCAAAGGGACACAAATTTTTCAACAAAAAACACCCCTGCATGCATATGTTTATTGTTAGCACTATCCACAATAGCCAAAGCATGAATCTACCCCAGATGCCCATCAAAGGTGGACTAGATTTAAAAAAATGTGGTACATATATACAACAGAATACTATGCAGCCATAAAGAACAACACAATCGCATCCTTTGCAGCAACATGGGTTCAGCCAGAGACCTTCATTGTCAGTGAACTATCACAGAGACAAAAATCTGAATATCGAATGTTACCACTCCTAAGTGGGCCCCAAACATTGGGCACTGGCACAAGAACGGAAACAGCCGAAGCTGGGCACATCTAAAGGAGGGCGGAAGAGAGGGAGTAAAAGGTCCCCAAACCACCCATTGTGTGCCATCCTCTCGACATCAGAAGCCCAAACTTTGCCTTCATGCAATGTACTCATGGAGCAAATCTTCACACGCAACCCCAAATTCTAAAACTTAAAAAAAAAAAGACTCAGATATTGACACCCGATCTGGAAGACAAAGTAATATAATTTTCAAAAATTCTAAAATTTTAATGTAATGTAAAATGTAGAATTAAGCAGTCTCATTTTCTTAGGGCAAACATTTCAGATATTTCTTGCTGAATTCTTAATTGTGATGATGTTAAATTATGACATTGAATTAAAAACATGCTATTACCCATTAAAAAGAATAACCCCAATGTTTAAAAAGTTCAGTATACATAGTCTAAATAAAATTTGGCAAAATTAGTTGGCATCACATCTATTAGATGTTTAAGATTATAGATTCAGTTAACCAATATATAAAATCCTTGTTTAATATCTAATACTTAGATCGTTTTTTTAAAAAAGATAAACACTACAGCATGATTTGCAATTTATATACTTTTGTCTCTTCTACTTATAGTTTAGAGAAGCTGTATATACTTGGGTTTGTCAATATATGTATTAATTTTTGTCACATTAAAAAGATATGCTATAAGTAATTATGTGACTATAAAAAGTATAACATTTATATTTTCAACCTCGGATAATTTGCCACAAAATGCTGACACAGCAGTTTATGACTATCCATCTCATAGTTTTCTCCACAAAATAAAAATTACTGTAATTAAAAGTTATACAAATAAATGATTTTCCTGAGAAAAATAATGAGATAAGAAACTCTGTATGCAAGACACTATTTTGTTAAAAAAACCCCACATATTTTATCCTAATAGAAAATGACTAATCAGTCTAAAAATCAGTCGACAGCATCTAAATACATTTTTAAAATTATACAAGATTCACCATAAATATTCTTGTTTATGGTCAATGTTGACTAATTTTAAAAAGGTTTATTTATAAGATTTTTTAAAATAATGTTAAATATTATACTGATGCAAAACTAAAATTGGCTTTTTTAACTCTGTTTGAATGGCAAAAATGTTCTTAGATTTTAGGTCTGTCCTTAATAAGAGGTTGCAAAATAAGTTTTTTTTTGCCTTCAGTGCAAAATGCCTAAAAGGCAAACATTCTGTATCTTATCAGAGTCTTTTTCATTGTCTTATGTTGACTTTATCCTATATTGAATTATTAAAAACATAAAAACAAAAATACAAACACCTCAAAGTCTACTCAATGTCATAATAAAAAGTCAAACCCCACCTGTGGGTTTTTACACAAAAGAAACTTAGATGAGTAATAAAGAAAGGTTGACAATAATTGTTAGCAAATATACCAAACAAATGTGATAAAACAGAATGTAAGAGTGATAATACTAATACGTCAAGTTCTAAAAGCAATAACCAGAATAGAGTCTAACAATATAAAGTGATAAGGAACATAATTTATTAATGGACAGAACAGCAATAAATTAACACACTCTAAAAAAACAGAGTAACTAACACATTAGCAAAACTACCCAAATGCTAGAAGGACTTAATTAAATACAATTAAAATGGAAGCCATGATTGTACCTTTCTCAGGATTAAACAGAAAAGGGATAATTACTTATATTGTTTTGTCTTGTTTGCTGTAAAAAAAAAAAGGTTTTCCTGCAATATTTTTTGTTCAAATTTACCAATAACGAAAAAACAAATTAAATTAACAAAGTGTAATAGCATACTCATCAAAATGGAAGAGTTAGAAATAATGGTAATATTGTTTCTAATAGGGATGCTGACAAAAGTTAACTCTCATGCTTTGCTGGTAAAAATTCAAAATGCCCTAAACTTTTGACAAGGGAGTTTGACAATGTCTATTGTCATATGTGATTTAAAAAGCATGCATATTTTGACTCATTGTTTCCACTGCTTCAAATCTTTCTTATAGAAATAAAAGTCACAAATTGACTACAGCACTAACTGTCAGGCAGAAAATAATGGATATGATAAGTTATCATTCTGGGGGCACTAATTGATTAAATTACGGTGTAGTCACGCAATGGAGTATATTGATTGCTTTTTGCTTCATTTCTAATTCCATTTAGTTTTATTTAGTGAACTCTATATGTTAAACTCTATTTTGGTTCTAGCAATATATTTCTGACTTCATTGAGTTTTGGGTATCTAGTGAAGAGAGATTATCATAAGTAGATTATCACTATGTCAGACAGTGATAAGTGCTATGAAGACAAAATAAAAATAGAAAGGAGATGGGGAGTATGAGGTTGAAAGGTTGGTTCACAAATTAAATATGATGGTGTTAAATGAAAGGATTCACCCAGAGGTGGTACAGATCTGAAGAGCTGAGGGGGTCAGCCACTTCCTGTCAATGGACTTGTCATATCTATTTATGGATAACTTCCTTTTGGAATTTTACTCCTAATTGGCTTCTGACTCTTTCAACTAGTATAAATAATACTGTGGCCCCCTTTTTCATTTACTCTCCAAAGATATTCAACTCCAAGTGAGCTTCTTGTGATTAATCTACTATCTTAAGAGAGTGCCTTGGCATTTCTTGAAAGAAAAAGCCAAGATGGAAAAATATTTACTAATGTGTAGAACTAGCAGGCACCTTGCTGGGTGCTGCACAAGTTCTTCTTTTATCCATCTTTAGCTCTGGAAGGAATCATTATTCTGAACTCAAGATCAAAGGACACATTTGAGAGCAAGTAATAAATGTATTCAAGTGTGTGTAGTGGGAGGGCAGCTGTGAACAAAAAATTTTTTAAAAATATCTACAAGGGTCTGGAAGAAATCTCTCCAGCCAAAATATATGTTATTCATAAATACAGGTGTAAAATTTTTAAAAATTAAAAAAGAAACATACATATAGAAACAAATATACTTAGCTATTATTTCTATTAAACAAGTTCAAGCTAAGATGCATAAATATATTTACATCTGCAAAAATTTTATCAATAAATCTAAAGACGAGTCTCAAAATCTCTTCTATAAGAGAGGGAAAATACTATAATTTCCTAATGGAATTCTGAAGAAGAAATACATGGACAGTCATCACACATTCAATGACAATTGCCATATCTAAAGGTAATGCTTAATTGTACTCTTCTATTAAATTATTTAAGAACAAAGGTAATATTCATAACTATAATAGGTTGGGATTGTAGAAAATTCCTTAATGTGAAGAAAGCAAGTAAGACGTGTTATCTTCCTATGTGATTTTGTTAGAAATTGCACTTTGAGGGGTGCATATGGGAGTGGACAGGTCATATCACAACAGTGAAGGTCACACAGCTGGCACTTCCTTGTCAGCTGAGAGATGTGGTTGTAACTGCCGCCCTGCCCCCTTTGCTTACATTTTGGAGCACATACTTCAGTCTTTGAAAGATTTGGCCCATGTTATAATATCCCCTTTATCTGCATTAAATATGTTTATTTCATGCAAATAAACATAATATAAAATGAAAAATTTATCAAATTACTTATAAAATTACCTATTTTAATTTGTATTTCTTACTTAAAACAAACTTTTGAAGAATTATACAGATGATGAAAACATCCTATGAGTCACATCATTCTTATTTTTTCCTTTGTGTTTTACTTATTTCATTTGCAAATATCCTCTCTTGTCCACCCATCCATTTCACATAGGGCAACTGAGACATTAGCAAAGAAATCATACAAAAGTTGTGATATGGGGAGTCCTGCTGCAATCTCTGAAGATTGAAGTTCTTACCTTTATCTTTTGTTTTGTTCTATTCTTTACCACTTTGATGAAACACTGAAAACTATTCACATTCTTTCTAGTCTACCGGAAGATAAATTCTCTCTAAGGAGGCATTTCCTTTTCCACCAATCAGAGTTATCCCAAATGCATTATTTTTCTTGCAAAATAATGCAGGTGTGCTTGAAAGTAATAACAATGTCCTGATTTTTATTCAGTATCTACATAATGGCTAAACATTAAAATATGTGTTTTCCTCTAAGTGGTTCACTGGATATAAAACCTCATATCAAAGACAGCAACCATCAAGTTAAAAAATCTTACTGCTTCTCTCAGGCCTCAGCAATGCCTTTGTCTTCTTGTTTTGGCTTCCGCTTTCATGAAGGGCCTTGAACCAGTCCCGAAGTCTGTTTGCCACTTCTCTGAACTCCAGGTTGCTGCACGCTAAAAATAAAGAGAAACAACACAAATCTTGAAAAGTAACGTAGCACCATGTCAGTGCTGTCTCTCCCATTATTCCAATGAAATGAAAGGTAATAAGAATGGAAGGAAAAACATATAATACAGTGACTAATTGTGTTTCAGCTTTTTCAAAGTTAAAAGTAAATACATGCTAACCGTAAGATGTAATATGATGACAACGTTTTATGCAATAACAGTATTATTAGTAGAATTCAGCTTCCACTCTTCACATGAATATGACAATTGGTTGAGGATTCTTATTGTTAACACTACAAAAATTGAGTCATAACATTTATGTGATGAATACTTTTGCCAAGGAAAGGTGGCAAAAGTAAATAAAGGCTTGAAAATACAAAATGAGTATTAAATATCTATTATTGGCCATACCTATTATAATGTGTTGTGATTTATACTTTTTCATTAGTATACTCAATATATGGAGGAATGCACATTACAAATACATGATGTTGCTGTTTAGTTTAATCGTATATTATATATTTGCTAAGCATAGAAAAGAGAATTGTATTATTTGCCATTAGGAAAGATTATAGAATATTTAAAAAAATAATGAAGCCGGGCTCGGTGGTTCAGCCTGTAATCCCGTGCCTTTGGGAGGCTGAGGTGAGTGGATTGCCTGAGCCCGCGGGTTGGAGACCCACCTGGGCAACTTGGCGAGACCTCATCTCTACAATAAATAAAAAAATAGCTGGGCGTGGTAGCGCACGCCTGTAGTTCCGGCTACTTGGAAGGCTGAGGCGGAAGGATCACCGGAGCCCAGCAGGTCGAGGTTGTGGTGGCCTGGAGTGGCCACTGCACTCCAGTCTGGGCGACAGAGTGAGACTCCAACACTCCAACTCAAAAATAAATAAATAAATAAATAAATAAATAATGAAGTGTTCCTGCCGTAAAAGGTGAAGTATTAGCAAACTTTGACAACTAGAACTAAAATTAACTTTGTTTTTTTAAAAAATTATTATGTACCGATATTTATATGCTTTAAAAAATTGACCGGGCACAGTGGCTCATGCCTGTAATCCCAGCATTTTGAGAGACTGAGGCAAGAAGATTGATTGCCTGAGCTCAGGGGTTCGAGATCAGCCCGGGCAACTTGACAAGACCTCATGTCTACAATAAATTTAAAAAAAAAATAATTAGCTGGGAGTGAGAGCACGCGCCTGTAGTTCAGACTACTTGAAAGGCTGAACCTGGGCCCAGCAGGTTGAGACTGCAGTAGCCGTGAGCGTGCCACTGCATTTCAGCCTGGGCAACAAAGTGAGACTCTGACTCAAAAAAAAAAAAATCGTCTACGACTTAAGCAGTAGCAGACTATGAGTATGTGTAAAAGAATGCTAAACCATGGTATTCAAACTCAGTAATTTACTGCAAAATATTTTGAAAATACCAAAAGCACTTATTTGCAGTGCTTAGAGGACATTGTTACTACAGCCCTGTCTCCTGTTTTTGTTGCAATTTTGCAATTTCCTCAGCCAACAATCATCTCATATTAATACTCATTTGTTCATATTGTGAAAATAATTTTATGTCATTATAATGTTACATTTAATATGAACTGCATACATTATATTATAACATGTGTCATGAAAAACATAACATTGTGATGTAATGTGATATAATATAACTCAAGGCAATTTTCTGACTCTAAAGAAAATAAGATCCTAGATTGAAAGGGCTTCCAGTGCTCAGGATAGGGATTAGCAAATCGCTGTGACAGTTCAGAGCACTGGAGACAAAAATGATCTTTTAAACTTCTGTGAGAGAGGGTAACCAAACTGTCACACCAAAATATAAGAAGTCAGAGTTTCTTCTAATTTTTTAATGACAACATTGGAAGGCAGCATGATAACAGAAGAATTACTTTATATTTCTACCTGACAAAACTATATCCAAAAAAAATCAGGTGGCAAAGAAAGCTAATGGAAATTTTACAAATATAAGATCTGAAAAACCACTCATACAATCTTTTCCCAGGAAGTTACTGGAAGATGTGATCAAGAAACCAAGAAACAGGATAGCTGAGATGCAGGAAGTAACAGTTGAGAGAGGTGAAAGACACTTCTAGGAGATGGTTACAGGGAATTCGAGAGTGCATGCTGAATGCTCTGTGCAGAGACAGATGGTAGTCAGATGGGACATCCTTGACTAGGGACAGAGAGATGTACATAATTCACTATTGTTTCATCCAGGGAAAATACTAAGCTATTGTGTGAGTAAAAAAATATATTCATAGCCAGGCGTGGTAGCGCGCGCCTGTAGTTCCAGCTTCTTGGAAGGCTGAGGCAGAAGGCTCACCGGAGCCCATCAGCTTGAGGCTGCGGTGGCCGCGAGGGGCCACTGAACTTCAGTCTGGGTGACAGAGTGAGACTTCAACTAAAAAAAAAAAAAAAAATATATATATATATATATATATATATATATATACACATTTTGCACATATATATGTATATATTCATTTTGCTGACAATGGCTGAACAGGGTGATGAGGCAATAATTAGCATGCTCCTAGTATGAATGGCTGCACTCTAGCCTAGTGTTTCTGTTTAAGCCAGCAGCTGGGCGTGGGTCTTTGTGCCCCTTAAAGGGATATGGGAAAGAAAATGAAAACCTACCTGAAGAAGAGGAATTCTACATATTCATACCTGCATATGTGTGTATCACATTCCCATAGAAGGCTTTCTATGGAGATGACAAAACTACCTGAAGAGGAATTCTTCTAAATAGCCATAGATGCGAATGTGTCCATCACATCCCTCTAGAAAGCTATCTGTGATGACAACAAAACTACTTCAGCTAGGGAACTGTAATAATGGGAGGAAATGGTATGAGGAAGTCTTATTTTATCATTCATCTCTTTTTCCTTTTGAATTGTGGACTATATGGTTGTGTTAATATTAAAAAATAAATAAGAATTAAAATTGCTTTAACAAAATAATTATGATTGCATCTAACCTTTGAACTGCAATTTTCTTTGTAGAAATTTATCATGCAGTTATACTGCACTTGTGCAAACAAGTGCATTCAAATTGTGCTGCATTATTTACTCAGCATGTTTTACATATCACGTTTGTTAACAACATAACTCTCCATCATGCACATTTTGAGAAAGAGTTCAAAGGAAGGACAATTAACATTTATTGATTCTATCCATTAGTTCAAACACTGGAGTATTAGCTTCTTTTATAAAGCCTGTTAGCTTAGAGATTTATGTTACCTTGTCCAAATCATAGATGTTTGGTAACAAATCTGATACGCTTAATTCAGAACAATTTCTACATTAAATTAACACCTTTCCCTGCAAAAGAACAGTATATCAGTGATATATCTACAGAAAGATAGTGCAAATTCACATCCCAGATTCTTAGCATTTATTACTCAGAGAGGACCACATAGAAAATGAGATCTGATGAAGAGACACCAGGAACATTTCAGTGCCTTTTTTCTATAAGCCCAGGACATCTCAGTTTTGGAGGACCAAATCTGTGGCATTTATTAGAAACAATTCTTTTTTTTTTTGAGTTGGAGTCTCACTCTGTCACCCAGACTGGAGTGCAGTGGCCACCTCCGGCCACCGCAGCCTCGACCTGCTGGGCTCCGGCGATCCTTCCGCCTCAGCCTTCCAAGTAGCTGGAATTACAGGCATGTGCTACCACACCCGGCTGATTTTTTGATTTATTGTAGAGATGAGGTCTTGCTGCCCAGGCGGGTCTCGAACCCGCGGGTTCAGGCAATCCACTCACCTCAGCCTCCCAAGGGTGCGGGATTACAGGCTGAGCCACCGAGCCCGGCAACAATTCTTTATGTATAAAAATTTTGAAGATACGCCTAAAATTTTTCAAGAAGTGTTCTTTTGCTAAGTTTTAACTCTTTAATTTAAAACTGACAATAATTTATCTAAAATCATGGACCAAAGCAAGGATTCTTGACAAATTAGACACTTTAAACCATATGCTTAATTAAAATTTATAAGTATAAAATTGAAAAATTAACCAAGTTGATAAGTTTTATAATTATTAAGTACTTATTCATGTTGGTTATTCCATTTTTTTTCCATGTTGTGTTTTTAGAGCTGATAAATATTTTTTAGGCCTCAGGCATTTCATAGGTTCCTAACCCCTGTCTTTTATAAAATACTGTTGAAATGATTGATTCACTCACATTTTACTAACTGGATGTTTGTGTCTCAAATTTTTATGTTAAAGCCGAATCCCCAATGTCACAGTATTAGGAGGTAGGGCCTCTAGCAGATGATTAGGTCATGGGGGCAGAGCCTTCATGACTGGGATTAGTGCCCTTATAAAAGAGACCCCAGAAAGACCCCTCTGCCATTCCACCATGCCAGGAACAGCAAGAGGAGGACCATTTATGAACCAGAAAGCAGTTTTCATCAGATGCTGAATTTGCTTGTACCACCTTGATCTTCAATTCCCAGTCTCAAAGAATTGTGAAAAATAAAATTTCTGTTTTTTATAAGCCACCTAGTCTTTGGTAGTCTATTACAGCAGTCTGACAGACAAAGACACACTACAGTATACTTAAATGTAATTATTAAGAATAATAATTTATTTTATTTTTGAGTTGGAGTCTCACTCTGTCACCCAGACTAGAGTGCGGTGGCTGCTTCCGGCCCACCGCAACCTCAATCTGCTGGGCTCCAGCAATCCTTCCGCCTCAGCCTCCCAAGGAGCGGGATTACAGGCTGAGCCACCGAGACCAGCTAGGAATAATAATTTATAAAATAACATAAATGAGGGTACCTGATCCCAAACCAGTGAAGTGAGGATCAATGGAAGGCCCAAACTTCACCTGTATGATGACCACCACTTATGTACCTAATCCTGAATTGTACCCCACATCTTTAAAATAAACTAATGAATACTGACATTTGGTAATACAAACTGTTAATGAAGATGATGTTGTATATTAAGGAAGCTTAGATGTAAACGGAGTTCCAGGCAGAGAGAGTG